TTAAATGCTCGACAGGAGAACTGACAGCTTCCCTTGACTTGGCACAGAGCCTGACCACCTGGAGAAAAGAAAATTATATGAGGAAGGACCTAACATTCTCATAAATTTAATTATATATATATATATATATATAAATAAAAAAAATAAAAAAATAAAAAGAGGTAGTTGGAATTTTCTGATCATTTTTATTACATTTCTTATTATATTTCCAGTACTTTTAGACTCCAATGTCCTTCGCCTTCAGTTTGTATTCATGGGTTGGACTGAGATCCAGAATTAAACCTCAATGGGTTCGACCTATAAGATTTTTGGCACTGAACACATTGCATATTTCAAATTATGGTTAAGAAGTAAATTTTAGTGATTTTTACGTATAGATATTTATGCTCCTGTCAAAATAGTAGGTTCGGTTGAACCTAGTAACATCTAACTTACATCTACCACTGGTGGAACAGGGCCGATTGGGATGGATATAAGAGATTCATTTTTTGTCCTTCTTATCCAAAAAAATCGAAAACTTATCAAAAATAAAAATCTTATCAAAAAATATTTCAAATCATGGTTAAGAAGTAAATTTTAGTGATTTTTATGTATAGATATTTATGCTCCTGTCAAAATAGTAGGTTCGGTTGAACCTAGTAATATCTAACTTACATCTTCCACTGGTGGGACATGGCCGATTGGGATGGATATGGGAGATTCATTTTTTGTCCTTCTTATCAAAAAAAAAATCTTATCAAAAAAGATTCATTTTTGTCCTTCAGTTAACCATATCCATCTGAGGATATAAATAGAACTCTTTCTTTAAATCATTACCATAAAAGGAGCTGATAGGGGATGGAGATATATATACTATGTCAAAGGTAGGTGGACAAAAGTCCAACATTCTGCAAGATGCTTCCACTAGAAACACGTGCTGCATAAATATGCATTAAACACCAAAATAGTGATTTCCCAGTCAGTTCAAAATGTCTTCAATCTTCATCACTTTATTTTTCTTGGGTTGGAGGGTGGGAAGGAGATACAGAAATAGCTGGTGCCTCACCTTCAGACCAGTAGCACTTATCTTCTCTGCTAATTGATCCACAGCAACATTACTGGGGGCACAGACCAAAACCTGATGAAATAATAGTCAGCAAATGATTGTAAAGAGCCATTATATCAAGCAACTAATACCTAGAGCAAATATAAGTAAAAATGACTTAAAGTTACCTGTCCTTGGCCTTGTTTGGCCATATGATACACAATGGCGGCAGAGGTGACAGTTTTTCCCGTTCCAGGTGGACCTTGAATTAAACTGATGGGCTTTTGAAGAACACTTTTTACAGCAAAAACCTAAGAGAGCAAACATGGATCAATAAGACAACCAGAATCAATAACTCCTTTTGAGAACCTCCTTCCACTGTTGGTGGTGGAGGGGTATTTTTTTGGTTAAGGGGGTGAGGGGAAACAACTGACTATGGGGCACCACTTCTGCATTAAGCTTAATTAAGTAAGCTGCCGAAATTGAGGGGGCAATTTTATGAAAAGAGAGAACAAAACAGCAACTAAAATTTGGATTGCATGTGCTTGTTAATAGGGGTTCCACAATGTAACATGTACCAACACAGCAATCAGGGTTGATTATTCACTATAATTCTCAAATGTAAGCAAACTTGCCATCATAACATGTTTGATACTACATGTGTATGCTTAGTGAACTACTAACAATTTTCATTGTCAAAAAATCCCGTTCAAAGGTATCCTGAAAAAGGTTTGGAAGCGTGATCAATATTGAAGCTAAAGGAAATATGCTTTTTTAGAAATGAGGGAAAAGAGGCAACAGGTTCAAGCAAACAGATAGCGCCCTCAACCTGAGATGCATTAAGCTCTGGAAGACCAGGGGCACCAAAACGGCGAGGAAGTGCATTGCGGACCATCTGCATCTCAACTTCATGACCTAACAGGTGATGGTAAATATATCTGCACAAGAAGCAAAGAGAATGCAAAACTAAATGCTCCATCGATAGAAGTTACAACTGGTTGACCCAAATAAAGTTAGTTGTTACATCCATGAATATGACATTCCTTTGTACTACATAGATGAATTCAAAGTTTCATTCAGGATACAATGACTAGGCAACAAAAGAAAAGATGCAGTATCCCTTATTACTTCATCCAAAAAAAGGATGTAGTATCTTAAACATTCAACGAGACAAAGTTAAAGAAAGAGCAGCCATTTCTCTAAATGTATAATCATCAGCAGCATTACAAGATACCTACAATAAACAAATAAAAAAGGGACAAACCAATTCGATGAACACCTTTTTGAAAAGGTTTAAATGGAATAATAAATCTTAGGCAAGTAAGATAATTAATTAAAAGTACATGAAATCTTCACAATTGTTTTTTTATCTTTCTACACAGAAACCAGACATTCTCACTCACCCACTGACACTAGTCTCATCCACTGCAAAGGTTTTCATCGCACTCTGCATCCGATCAAAGCTCGTACTTTTCCAAACAAAGTCAACACTAAGCCCATGGGTCACATCGACAGGAACCCCCTGTTAAGACAGGACTAGTTTAGAAAAGGCCCAAAGTACAAGCCAAAACATGGTGAAAGAAGAAAACAGAAAATCGAGAAGAGACTAGCAATCTAAAAACTAAGGTACCTGGCTGACACGAAGTTCAAGCGCAACCTCCTCTTGAGCAGTTAATTTTACCTGAAAATTGAATAGTCAATCAATATCTCAGGCTAGAAATTGCAAAAGATGCCCTTAACAACCCAAGAAAACAAGAAGCAGGGAGCTTTCCGAGAAGCTCTTCTAAGAATTAAGAAAATTTTCCATGATTCTGGGAGCCTTTTTCATTCCAACCAATTTACTTGTTTACTCCATAAATTATTTTCCCTCTCAAAAAGAGTTGGAGATCAAGCAAAATGCCCATACCACGTGCCCCACGGATTGCCAAGCTGGATGTGCTGCATCCCCTGAATATCGCAGCCTTAGCTCATCACCAGGTACAAGACGCAACTCATTATCTTCCTAAAAAACAGCAGACCATCTTCAATTCAGATAGGGAAAGACACAAGAGATTTCCCATATCAAGATTTAATAGTAAATGACAGCAATAAGCTCTATAACAGTCTGAGAATCTAGAAGAATCATAGCAGGAAAAATAACAAGAAAATACCTTAGGGAAGACAAAGTACGCAACGCGTTTCTTGTTGAGACCAATATCCCATCGAATAGTAAGATTGTCTTTACTCTGAGACTCTTTCATCATCTACCAAACAGAAAAAAGAACTCAAAAACTTGTAAGCAGTATCTCAACCCAAGTATAAACTCTACTTGGAGACGAAGAAGACACGATGGGAAGATTAATTGACAAGGGAAAACATCACAATCTCAGAAAAAGAATGACAACAGAGAGAAGTAACTTCACATGTCTTAGCTCAATTGTCACAGAGGTTAAGAATGAAGAAGAAAAAGACAAGCAAGCTTAAATGCAATATTCAGCATAAATCAACATTTGTAGAGACAAAACTCAGTATCAAGTAAACTTAGGTAAGTAGTACGCTCCCATCTTTACTCAAGAGTGACAACAGAGAGAAGTAACTTCGAATGTCTTAACTCAATTGTCACGGACATTAAGAATCAAGAAGAAAAAGATAAGCAAGCATAAATACAATTGTCCTCATAAAATCAACATTTGTATGACAAAATTCACTATCAAGTAAACTTAGGTAAGTTGTGCGCTCACATATTTACTCAAGAGTGACAACAGAGGAAAGTAACTTCGCATGTCTTAGCTCCACTGTCACAATCGTTAAGAATCAAGAAGAAAAAGACGAACAAGCGTAAATGCAATTGTCATAAAATCAACACTTGTATGAACAAAACTCTCTATCAAGTAAACTTGGGTAAGTAGTATGCTCACTATCCAAAAGCAAAGGTGAAAAGGAACATGTAAAGTTAGAGGAAAATACATGAAATTTCAGGATGTAATAAAAAGCTAAGAATAGTACAGTATTCATTGACGCACTCACGCTTCAGCATGTAAAATCATCTTCAAAACCTGACATACCTTATCGTAGTCAGCTTCGAGCTTGATCAATGGTGCAAATATGTTTTGATACTACATTAGAAGGGTGAAGGCAAACTTAGTTAAAATGTCAATACATAGTAAAGCAATTCCTGCACAGCATTTATTACACATAAAAGGCAGAGGAGATAATACAATAGCATCATCCAGTGAGAACCTGATAGGCATCTTCATACTTCAAGGCAACGGGCTGAGGCTCATCATCTACACCAGGCTTCTCAAGATCTTCCAGGGTAGCATCTGGATTAGTCTTCCACAATTCTTCTACTTTGTTGATTTGTTGAGCGCTGATCTGGCGCGCCCTCAACTGTTCTTGCTCAGAGGGGACCTGCAGCACTCCACACGTAACAAATACAGGACAGAAAACAAAAACCAAAAGGATCAAAGAGAGAGAACAAGAAAGAGAATCCAGACCTTAACAAGCCACTGCAAAAAGCACCTGTCATCAATGAGCGGGCACCACTGGCTTAGGTCCCAGTTCATATCCTTCAATGCATTAACACTAAGACAAGGTTCCCTACAGAGGAGAACAACAACACTCTCTGCCTTAGCAGAAATGAAACCAAGAAGAAAGACATTTCGGCATCCACAATTGTAGCACTCTAGAATCGTTTCTCCAAGTGGACTATCTTTATGAAGGCACACCTCCTTGTGTTTTGCTCGCACCTATTAGAAAAAATTGAGAATATTCAATAAATGCCAACAATACAAAAATTATACGCCATAAATGCCTTGTTTCCGGAGAGAATATAATAGACATGCCAGTTGTAGAAAAGGCGAGATGAATATAACACCCCAACGTAAGTCCATTAAATGCAAGTGGCTGATCCCACTGCCTAGACTGGTGAAAAAATTATAATATGCATTTAAGATTCCTTATTTATTTCTACAGTTTGGACAACTGACATTCCAAAATGCAGTATCAACTAGAGATAATCTACTCCCTTAGTAACTAAGAAAAGGTGGTGCTTTGGCTTTTCTCCTTGAAAAACATATAGAGAAGCTCCTTTTTAACTTATCCCACATGCATAAATGAAGAATTCAGTGGAGGTGAAAGTTGCATGAATCTGACAAAAACGTACTTTTATTGGGATAAAAGATCTTTTTTATTGAAGAGATCCCAGCACTAAAGGGTGCTGGAAATATACACTACAAAAAGAGAAAAGAACTTGTTGGTTTACTAACTTATAAGGACCTGCGAAAATCTAGCATTATACCTAGTAAATGTACATTCACCATACTACAGAAAAAGGCTGACAAAACTATACATTTGTATCAAATAAATTTTCCATTCTTGCTTCAAAAATATGCTTTCCCAAAGAATAAACGGACGCAGCAAATCTATATCCCATGGCATAACAGCAAATCTATTTCCCGTGGCATAACAGCTAGAAGCTGCATGAGTAATAGCATCCCCATTTTTTTTTATGAAGATTAGCATCCCGATTTTTTTTAATGACCAGGAAACACTCGAGGGTCAGTAGCGCATGCTTCAAAAACGGTGGATAATGGGCCTGCCCCTCTATACTCCTCCGCTTAAACTCACGCTTTTGGCTGTGGTAGGTCTCGAACCCATGAAGTGCCTAACCCATGCATCACATGTTGCATTTTATGTTAAGAGTAAAGCCATGGGGGCAATAGCATCCCAAATATGGGGGAAAAGCAAATAAAAGAGAGCTCAAAAACCAACAACATCCACACCATTGACCATCCATCACCAGATGAAACAAAAGAACTATACTCGGCTAAAAACCTTATTGATAACACACAAACAAGAAAAATGGAAGGAGATTCTCTCAGCAGTTACCAATAAGCTTGATTTAAAGAATTTAAAAGGAATAAAGACTAATTGGTTAGTCGTGTAATAATCGCTAGGTCAAAGACAAATGCATAAGCTTCATCTACTTCCCTAGTTCACTTTTCTGGTGCTATCTGATACTAGTATTTCTGGTTCCATACTTCTCCTTTTTTAACCATGTTATTCCCTTTCCTAAAACAAGCCAGTGTTATCAAAAGCGAAAAGCGCAAAAAAGCTCTAAAGTTCGTTAGGACTTTAAGCGCAAAGCGCAAATAAAGTGTGAGCTTTAATGAAAAAAGGTGCAATTGGAGAATAAGTAAAAATATGTATATGTAGTCCAAAACCAATAATTATAAGCATGAATAACAAATATATGGACAAAGAAATTGAAAAAAAATTAAGATAAAGTGAAATATAAGTTGTCTAGAGTCACCTTTTTAGGATTACACTCATTGGCAAGGAAAAGTATGTCTTAGACCCTTGATGCGACACTAAAGCGCTCACAAAGCGAGGCGAAGCTCTCAACATGTTTTGAGCCTCGCTTCAGGGCTTAAGCGCACCTTTAACAACACTGAAACAAGCTCCAGAGAGAAAGGGAGGACAGGAGGAAGGAGACTAAATACATTATGAGAAACACGCCCCTGCCCCAAGACCCTATCTGCAGCTAGTGCTGCACACTACTGCCTTTAGCTTGAAATATATATACCTATATTAAGTTCAGGGGAGTAATGGGTGTGAGGTATAAGGTATTCCACTTAAAACCCTACTTCCTTTAGCAAAATGAGGACAGAAAAACTATTTTTCATCCAAATTATAACTTGTAAATCAACTTCAAGTCATCCAAATAAACTACAAAAGAAAATACCATAAAGCTACTATGCACGTTTTTTTATTTAATTATGATAAAGCTAGTAAGCTACTTGTCAAAAAATAATGTAGTTATGATAAACCTATTCTGCAGACATTTACACATTCATAAGAAATATAAAAAAATCGTACAACAACAACAAACCCAGTATAACCCCACAAGTGGGGTCTGGGGAGGGTAGGGTATACGCAGACCTTACTCCTACCTTGAGAAGGTAGAGAGGCTTTTGCGGTAGACCCTTGGCTCAGGAAAGATAAAAAGGAAGGAGTAACAATAAGCAATGACACCAACAACCAATAAGAAAACCGAAGCGAAAGAGACAACAAGTAATAATAGAAATCTAAGAATAAAAAAATACTAGACTAACACTAAGGGGTCGTTTGGTTTGAATACGGCTTATGCCGGGATAAGTTATACTGGTATAAGTTATGCTAGGATAAGTTATGCTGGGATTAGTTATGTTGGGATTGTTTTTTATCCATTGTTAGGTATGTTGTATTAAATATGACAATTGCATAATTTGTAAGAAGAATGTATAAGTTATACCGGTGCTAATTACCCCACCCTCTATAAGGTATAAGTTATCCCGGTGTTAATTTTAATCCTGGGATAACTTATACCTGGTTTGCTAACCAAACGAAATATTAAGGTGGTATTAAATTTTTATACCAGCACTATACCTTCTTATGCCTCATACTAAACGACCCCTAAGTAGTAAACTAATACTTCTGGAATGAACAAGGAAAATGCTATGCTACCTAACCCTAATTCTCGACTTTCATACCTTCCTATCAAGGGTCATGTCCTCGATAAGCTGGAGCATCGCTATGTCATGCTTAATCACCTTTCCCCAATACTATTTCAGCCTACCTCTACCTCTACTTCTTCTTAGACCCTGCAAGGCCAACATCTCACACCTCTTCACTTCCTCACTCGAGCATCGGTGCCTCTAATCTTCACATGCCTGAATCATCCAAGTCTCGCGTATCTCATCTTGTCCTCCGCAGGGGCCACACCCATCTTGTCCCGAATATCTTCATTCTTAATTTTATCAATCCTGGTATGTCCATATATCCATCTCAACATCCTCATTTCTACTACCTTCATCTTTTAGACATGTGAATTCTTGATAAGCCAACACTCATCCCTTATCGCTCTATAGAACTTATTTTGGTGGCACATTCTTATCAAACAAAACACCTAAAGGTTGTTGGTGGTACATTCTTACCTTTTAATATATAAAAACTACTAGTACTTTTTAAATTTATTTTGTATAATATTGGCCTGAGATAAGTTTATAGGAGTAATATGATCAGTGAAAATTGGCACCAACTTGTTTGATATTGAGGCATAGTTGTTGTTTTATGGTACAACCTATTTTGTAGAGATTTATAAGTCAACAAGATAATGAACTTCTAGTACGTAGTACTTTTTATATTTATTTTGTATAATACTGGGTTCATATGAATATGGAATGACATGGTTAATAAGGATTCATATAACAGACCACAACTTGTCTAAGACTGGGGCATAATTGTTGCACGATAAATTTATTTGCAGATATTTATATGTCAATAGGAAATATAAACTTCTTGTCCTTTTATTTTTATTTTGTACGATATTGGCAATGAGTTTATATGAGTAACATATTCTGTAAGGATTTATAGAACCAACCCCAACTTGTTTGGGATTGACATAGTTATTGTTGTTGTTGTATGATAACATCTATTCTGCACATTTCTATAGACCACGAAAAACAGGCATTCACAACAAGAATCAAATGTGCGTGAGAAAAAAATGCATCTCTCTTACATACCAGGTGATTAACAATATGTGAGCCCGAAGTATTCCCCCTTGAATTACAAAACCACTTACGGCAAGACGGCACATTGCACCTAACTACACAAGCAGGATTCGTCACTCCACAGTACTTACAAGCATGCTCAACACCAAAATCCCCCTTTCCGTACTCAAAACCCTCATCATCCACCGTCTCCTCAAAATTCAATCCGCTCATCCCCGCCGCCAACGCATCCACCACCACCGATGCCGCCTGATTATTACTACTACTACCAATAACATTTCCGTTCCCGCCTCCACCAGAGACATTTCCGCCGCTTCCACCGCGGGTTTTTTTGGACGGAGAGGCGTCAGAAGACGGAGGCCGATCGGGTGCTTCGGAAACCAGAGAATCCGACGGCGTAGGCCACGCTGACGATCGAATTGGCTGTGAAAGCTCTTGAAATTCAGGATAATCGAACTCTTCGCCTTGCGTGTTGAATTCGAGGAATGTGTATGCATCGTTCCCGGTGTCCGGCTGCGACGCCGTATCGTAGAGATTGTTCGGCTGAGTATTCATCGTATAATCAAAAAATCGATGATATGAATTTAATGTAGGCTGAAGTTTTCGATTTCGAAGTGAGATTTTTAGTGTGTTCAGAATTAGGGTTTGGAAAGGGGAAAGTTAGGGTTCGGTNTAATCGTAGATATGAATTCAATGTAGGCTGAAGTTTTCGATTTCGAAGTGAGACTTTTAGTGTGTTCGGAATTAGGGTTTGGAAAGGGGAAAGTTAGGGTTCGGTGAAAAGGGCGAAGAAGAGAGAGAGAGGAGAGAGAAAGATATGATGAATATTCTGTTTTGGAAAAATACTTTAATGCACAAAAATACGTCATATTTAATATTTTTTATTAAATCGTGTTTAATTAAATTATGGTTTTTGTATCTAAAATAAAAATTGATCTATAAATATGGTATCTTCCCATTGTTCTTTCGACCAAAAAATAAAAAAAATAAAAAATAAAAAATTCTTCCCATTGTTCTTAAAAATAGCAATTTGCAAATACTAAAGTAAAACACTTGAAAATCTAATCGGAACAGTTCATATTAAAGGAGATAAAGACAAGCCCCTTACTTTATTTGTGATAATTAATATTGATTTTAAGATTAAGTTAATTGAATTTGGTGTAACATTCATCTTGCCATTTATATTTACTTACATTAGAAACTAATTATTTATACTAGTATATTATTCGCGCGATGCACGGATTGATTCAGAAGAAAAAAAGAGCAGAGAGATAATAGAAACATATGTATATATATTGCAGATTAAATTTAACGATCGAATTTAAAAGAATTAAAATAAAAAATAAATAGATGAATTTTATTGGGGCTAATATTAGAACCCAAGTATGATTCAAGACCAAATGACAATACTATTCTAAGAATTTTTCCTAATAGTTGTGAGCTAGCTTAGATCAACCGTACAAACCTTTGCAATTGCTGTAAAAATATAAGAGGTAAAAAACGGATGCTCTATTTCTATCAGGATATATATTATAGGCTGGTTTTTGATCCTTGAAAGTTATAAAATTAAGTTTTTCATCATGGTAAGATTCTCAATATCCTGGATTCCAAGAGAAAAATTTGATATATATTTAAGAAAGGGTTATTCCTTGTCAATTTAAAAAAAGAAAATATTTCATCTTTGATATTGCAATAAAGTTGAGGTAAGTTTTCTTACAATCTCTGCAGCCCATTGCCAATTCAGTTCCTCTTAATGAGCGGAGAGATGCTGTAAAATTTAGCTCTTTCAAGATAGCTGGTGTGGTAGGTGAAATCTTAATTTTGGCTTGAAAATTTAAGTAGCCTGCATTTTATTGTATTCCTTATGGCACATGATTGCGACATTAACATATTTTCGTTTCTACTTACCTATCTCTCTGTTACTGCTTGTTTCATGGCGAATTAGGTAGAAACACCAAACCAAACGTATAAAGCTTTATTTGTTAACTTTTCAAATAATAATCAACTGGTTTTGAAGAACTAAATTATGGTTTAATTTGTCACAATGTATAACCACCAAATGGTATATTAAAAAAAAAACTATTCTACCTTTAAGAAACTCATAATGGTGAATAAAGTTCCTGAAATGTATTACTCTAAGTGTTTATCCTAAACTGTCAAATATATTTTATAGAGGATAAATTATGATTGAGAAAAGTGATGGAAAAAAGTTCTTTGAGGCTTGGTGAAATTTTTATATTTTTGACTTCCTATAAATTAGCATTAAAGTAAATGTAGAAGTATTCACAATTTAATGAGAAACATCACTCATCTTAGAGGTGAGACATATTTTTCCTACTAATAAATGACTAGCGTTACAAAATAAAATACATCTAACTCAATCATTTTCTGCATCAAATTATAAAATAGATTGAGAATGTAAGGATTTCCTACTCTCTTGAAACAATGGTCTCATGTTCATATATAGGAAGGAGTTTTATATACGTAAAGCACACCAATCAAATATGAACAACTAGTATTGATAATGGTACCATAATTTCTATAAAGAATTCTTAAAATTAAGGCCAATTGGTGTAGTAGGACAATTGGTCTTTGATAACCAAATCTAAGCATCAGTTAAGTTGATATCTTCCCTAAATTCTCAACTTTTGAAGTACATAACATACTATATGTTGAGCCCGATAAGAGAAAAAAACATCAAATTCTTTAATTTTTTATGCATCGCTATAGTCACAAAACAAATTCTTTTCCTTTCTATGCATAGCTATATATAGGCATATCTCAACATTTCTATGCCTTTATCGTATGTCAGAGTTCGATAAATATATATATATTGTTGTTTCACATCCATTATTCTCTAGATTGCCGTTTTCAATTTAAGCAGTTGTTGAATTGATGCAGGAAATATATTGAATGGGTGAAGAGAAATCAATAATCACGTGGATTATGTGTATAATAAAGATCTAATGAAAACGCAATGAACTGTACTTTGAAGATTTGTATCGAGAAAAAATGAATATTATCATTGACAAACTTAAACATAATATAATTCCAGTGATAATCAGTATTAAGAGAACTGTCAACTATTCTTGACTTGCATAAAACTAAAAGTACTATAATGTGTTATGGAAAATAACATGAGAAATCCACTCGTTTCGTTTTTGGTTCTATTGCATAATTGAAAGAAAAACTCCCAAGGTCTCTTCGAGACATTCGATTTAAAGAAGAAGAAAAAGGAGAAGAAGAAGAAGGAGGAGGAGGAGGAGAAGGAGAAGAAGAAGGAGGAGGAGGAGGAGGAGGAGGAGGAGGAGAAGAAGAAGAAGAACTCCTAAGAACATGGAAGATCGATCTTCGTCAATAGCCATAAGACCAAGGAGAAAAGAGATAGCTTACTCATTGCCAATTTATATCAAGTATGCAAGCTAGCTCAATTGTGGGGCCTTAAGGGTCTTCTCCAGTGGCTTTAATTCTACATCTTGGAACACCTCATAGGGGTTGATTCTCATGCTTAGCTGATTTGGTGGCCTTCTTTTGCACCGGAAGCTTCAGTGCAAAATGGTGAATAAACCACCAAATTGAATATCAGAAAAATCCTATTTTACTTCTAAAAAAAACTCATAACGGTGAATAAAGTTTCTAAAACGTATTTCTCTAAGTGTTTATCTCAAACTGTCAAATATGTTTCATGGAGGATAAATTATGACTGAGAAACAATGATAGAAAAAGGTTCATCAAGGCTTGGTGACATTTTCATATTTTTTACGTCCTCTGAATTACAATCAAAGCAAATGGAAAAGTATTCACCAATCCTATAAATTGCACCATTCGAAACAGTTTTCTGTCATAGCCCATAAAAAGGGCACAAAGGAACAATAATAGAATTTCCATGACACATTCCCTATTAAATAGTTCAACCAAAGAGGATCCAAACTTTCAACAGCAATAAAATTGCAGCGAGAGAAGGTACACTAACTTCCTCAATTAGTTAGTATGCAATAGAGCTTGAATGAAAATTAAGAATCTGAATTAGAGAAGGGGGATAAAGCTTGAATGAAAATTAAGTATAAACGTTCGATTAATCTAAATAACTAATAATTAAAGTACATATTCGCAAATAAGAATCTGAATCAATACTTACATTACAATTCACAACTTGCTCAAATAATAAAAGTGTTTCCTTCCAAAATGTTTCTTTTGATACTTCTTGCAGCTGACATACGATCACCCTCTTTCAATTTCTAAATTTTCAATACTTGCAACAATTCAACATGACTTTACTGATTAATATATTAATATAAATTGAGGATAGCATATTTGTGTAAAGGGAAAGACATAAATTAGGCATACTTTAAATTAGGCATATTTCATTCATCAAAAACCAAAATGCCAACTGAGAGCTGAATAAATATAGCTTAATTTTTGGTAAATACAATTATTTCAGTTATTTACATATAACTTACTAATTAAAGAGATTGAAGAATAGAGTTAAACAAAGCAAATTATCAGATATTTGTAGTGAAGAAGCAAAATAGTTAAAAGATAAAGTGTATACTTTTTAAAAAAAAAAAATTAGAACATAAAGTCAAAATAGTTACAATAATGTGCATATTTAAATGGAAAAGATTGCCACTATCTTTTTTATCCTAATTGTCAAAGTTCTCTGCATTTATAATTATATCTAGTTGTTTGACGGTTAAAAAGAGGCAATTCCTAGTATAAGCTGCAAAAATTATTCACGTTACAAAAGAACTGTTACAAAAGTAGATTTTATTCAAATATATAACTAAGTCGTTAAATTTTAAAGCTAGCATACTATCCCTTTATTATTCCCTCTTAAGTTAGATACTATTTTCAACATCCTCTAAAAGTCAAGTCGATGATTTTCCTTTTTTGGTTGCCTCCAATAGGTAATACGTTGTTCATTTTGAGAACACTTTTAGCATGTACGCTCTCACACTGCCTAATAAGTTTATTCTTGGAGAAATCTAGAACACGGGTGAAGGTAAAAGAGATGGTCCGACTTGTTTGGCTGGTACCTTCTAATCACATTATATATTATTGGCTAATAAGAGTACACAACATAAAGGAACTTATTGTTAAATAATTTTTTGGTACAATAAAGAAGTCATGATATTTAAAACTTTACAACATACAATGACCTAAACATATGAGTTGCTCATTGTAACATATGCACATAGAACAACTATTAACTTTAAAGAATGATTGAATTAATATAACACAAAATAGTTCACTCACTTGCATGGACTCTACTAATTTGCCAATTGTTTTAACTTAAACAACGCCCTTAGCTAACTCATCAGAGTCTAAAACTTTGTTGAGAGATGGTTTGAGTCAGCTCTCAGAGAAACTATCTCGAACATAAATTAATCTGAATTTAACAAAGTGTAAAACAGTTAGATTGAAAAAATAAAATTGAGTGTTGATGCAAGGAAAAAATCTATATTAAGCCTTTTTTTTAACTCGTCATATTGATGAAAATTTGGATTAATCCAAAGTTTTGATATATTCCAAGTACTGCACATCGAAATAAATCAGCGAAATAACGTATGCGTAAGATGTAATGAAATAACCTTTCACAAAGTAAAGACATGTGAATAAGTGCATTTTACCTTGAAATTAATGTGCTTTTATAAGCAGCATAACAACAACAATAGGCTTGTTGTTAAAGCTTGACAAATGAGGTACAATTTGATCAATAATTTGTCCCAGAATGTAGCGGTTCTTCGTCATGTCAAATAGAAATAGAAAGATAATTTTTAGCATATGTAAGTGCCAAATTCATCCACAAGTTCGACATTCA